TGATTGGTGGATAAAAAAACAGGTAGTATAGTTCAAGCTACAGGAAGCTGCAGAACCAAAAAGGGACAAATATGACAGGTCAGTGACAAGACCTCTCAGTTGCCCCAGATCTCTGCAGACATCTGTGAATGTCTAGTGGAATCGATGTTCTGCCATGTGGTATTATTGTCATGGGCAGCAGACTTGATTTTTGTCAAGGGTATTCTCCATTTTTTTTTGGTAACACGTAGAAGGATAAATAAATGAGTGAATGAAAAACAAGATGTAGCAATAGTGCGAGATATTTTCGAAATCTCTTTCCAAGTACAGCACAAAGAAACCATTGATGTGTCAGTCCTAAGGCCTGAGTTCCATGAAATTCGGAAGGTTTGAAAAACACCTGGCATCGGCTTTTAAAGTCTCTTTCCAGCCAGCTCTGAGTCATCCTAGAAGACATGGTTTCTGACAGCTTCTATCAGGGAAACCAGCTGTGCGGGCCTTTGTAGACAGCCCTCTGTTCCCCCAGAGTATACGGTGTGCAAAATGAGGAATGTGAAAGGTGCTGTGCAGATAAACAAGTTCAGATAATTGTGGGCTGGTTTAAAAAAAATGTTTAGATATTTATGGCCACCCATGCTCTGACTCTGGGAGCAGGGGGTGGACTCGGGATCTGTAGTTGTCGTCTCTGGGTGTTGTTTGTCAACTAGCGTTTGTCAGGGAAGCAAGCAAAAACACTTGTAAAGCTTGTTCGACAAAGCAAAGCAGGCCGTCACTGCGGGGACTGCAGCCTGACTGACAAAAACAGAGAAGCCGTTGTCTTTAGGAAAGGATGCAAAAACATTGTGGTAAAAAAAAACTTTGCAGAAGATCCTTTGTAATCCAAAGTGTTTCAGGTAATTTGACCGCTCCAGGCTGGATTTCCTTTAGGTGGTTGTAAACCATTTTGTTTTGTAAACAAGTCCTGTGGGCTGCAATCTGTGTCACTTAAATATCACCCGTGACAGGTGTCCCTTTTGTGAAACGTGAGACTGCATTGGAAGGACTGACCCAGCAGAATTAAGAAACTGTAACACCTCTATAACAAAGTTACGGGTGAGAAAACTGTCAGGTTTTTACGATCTGTATAGCTCGGCCTGGAGGGCAAAGGCAGACATGAGCTCTGGCACAAAGACGCAAGCAAGAGTGGAAAGCAAGAGTCACACTTTTAAACTGAATGCAGCAGAAGAAGGTAGGAGTAAAGTAGAAGTGGCACTATTTTAAAAACAGAATTCCAAATTCATTCCAAACTCCTTAATTATTCTTATGATGCTTGCAATGTTGTCAAGCTTAGGACTTATAAATGTAGTCACAACCTAGGTAGGTCGTTCAGGTGACAGTTGTCATTCAGTTTTATCTTATATTACTTTAAAGGGTATCAATATTACCTGATATATCAAGATATCCACAATATCAAGACATAAACAATTTCCCATTGGCCCTTATCAATCATGGCCTCCTAATAATCCCCATCTATGAACTGGCTTCATTACTCTGCTCTCCTCCCCACTGATAGCTGGTGTGTGGTGAGCGTTCTGGCGCACTATGGCTGCCGTCGCATCACCTAGGTGGTGCTGCACATTGGTGGTGGAGAGGTGTCGCCATTGCCTGTAAAGCACTTTGAGTGGAGTGTCCAGAAAAACACTATATAGGTGTAAGCAATTATTATTATTATCCACATCCATTCCACCCATTTTCTTACTGCTTTATCTAATACAGCGTTGCAGGGAAGCTGAAATTTAAGACAGGGTGCACCCCTGAACGAGACGCCAGTCCATTGCAGGGCACACACACAAACTAACACACATTCACACCAAGAGAGATTTTCCCAAAAGCCAGTATGTCTTTGGACTGTGGGAAGGAAACCGGAGCACCCTGAGGAAACCCACACAAACATGGGGAGAACATTAACAATCCCCACAAAGAGCACCTCAGGAATTGGGCCAAGGGGCCTAATACTGCAAGGCAGCAATACTAACCAGTGTGCCATGGACGTCCACCGACACCCGGAGCTTAGTGCAAAATGGAAGGTGTCAGGAAAGCAATCTTTCTGACCCAGAAATTAGCATGATGCTGGAGTCCTAGCGCAATGATTGTGGGATATTGTGTGACTGACTACAACCAAACTCAAAATCAGTACGACCTGGATAACCTCATCTTTTTTAAAGGCTTTCTTCTTGAGTCTCTACTGTCCTGTACATTGGACTGACATCAGACTTGTCCAGCACTTGTAAAATGTAAAATGGCCCAGGCCCACAAAGTGTGAAAATTGAGGCCTACTGGTCTAAAAACACTGAATGTGTTATGCTCCAAAGTACAAAGGTATAGACAGTATCTATTATGTTCTTTATTATCACAAGCAAGCACAGCTGAAGTGACACACTGTTGGAAGTTTTTGAAAATCTTTGGTGGTAATGAAACATTAGAACTTTCATTTTGCGCCGAGTGTAGAGCACAAACTCTTCTGTACTCTAGAGGACAAGCCCGAAAGAGCCCAGCTGAGGTGACCAGCATGTCCAAGGTGTTACAGTGCATTACTTAACTTTTCTGCCAGTTGGATACACGGGCAAGTGAGAACCTTCAGAATATAAACCGGAAAACCACTAGACACAATGTTATTCTTTTTGATTAAGATGAGAGGCCTTGAAGAAAGCTAATTCCAAAAATACAAAGTTGGTTTTTAAAAGAAAACAAAGTCTTTATTTTGGTTACATTTATTCTTTTCATAAAACAGACACACATTTGGGGAAAGAAAAAAAAAACAGCAACTTATCCTGAAATAAAAAATTTAAGTTAACGGTCTGCTGTAAGGCATCATAAACTGATTGTTTGAAGGACAAAGACATAACGTACAGAAAAAATAAAGAAGTGCCAAGCTGGGAGGAGGGTGACAAGGTAAAAAGGTCAAAGGTGACATGGGGATCAGTGGTCTTTTTGTTTTCAAGGGGCTACTTGTTCAATGGAACTATTCGTAAGTGTCATTACTGCACCAAAATAGACAAGGACACAGGAAAAAGTCACTCATACTGCAGGAGTCTGAGATTCCATGACTACCAGTCTTCTCTTGCCTCTGACATTCTGACAGTCAGTTACAGATGAATGCGACATGACGGTGGTGACAGTTGGAAGCAAATCTATCTTTCACAGATGATTTCTTAGATATGATCAGATGAGACCGATTCAGAACAAAACAAAGGCAAAGGCAAAATCCATATCGGGGCCCAGAGATTTATCAGGTCAGAGCTCATGGGTGAACCAGAGGACATGTGATTCCCTCCCTGTAAGAGGGTACAACAGCAGTGTCTTCAGCAGTGACCTGAATCCTCAGGTCCAGAGGCTTTTCCAACTATTCAATACCATCCTCTCTTTAGAACAAATAGTATTATGTATCTGTTTCTCTTTTTTTCACAGTGTTTATCCAGTTACCTCTGTCAAAATTAAAACAACAAGTTCATAGACATGCATGTTAACAGAGACAGCATGAACAATTCACCCTCACCCTCCAGGCCTGTTGATGTGTAGTGGGGGCCTACTACATGCAAGGCTGCCACAGTCATGATAAAAATTTCATTCGAGTTTCCACGACTACGACTGGACTAGTCTATGTTTCCCAATGTACCTTAGAGTGGCAGTACCTTTACTGAACTCTTCTAGCGCCTCCAAGGAATATTTACACCTTTACTCATTGGGAGAAAAGATGCTCAGGCCACAGTGAAAATAAAACGTAAGAATGAAATACATTTTTGTTTCAAATGTTTTTTTTTTTTGCACTTATGCTAAAGGTACTCAGGTCTTTCCTGGCTGATGTTTTACACACTGTTCCAACGACGATTGTTTTTGTCTGAAATTTAAATGTGTGCAGATACAAGAAATGTGTCCCATTATTATTTATAAAGGGGGCTGCGAACACATCCATTTGGGTTTTCTGTACATGCTGTATTCTGTGTATTCTGTGTTGTTGGCCAAACGGAGGGAGGACAATAACAGATGAGCAATTTTTACAGTGAAATTCAGGCAGAAGGAAAAGCAAAATGGTTTCTGAATTGTTGCGAAGTGTCCACACACATTTAAAATTGTACTGTGTCACTTCCAGATGGCTGCCAATTGCAGAAAAATGTTCTAGCAGATGCTAAAGTTACAGTTTTGAAAAAGATGTATGTGTGAGCTACAGACTGTCCCCTCAGTAATGTGTGAAGGATAACACGCTTCCCAGTTTTATGTTTTGCCTCCCACTGTGTTTTGTTTGCAGTGTTTGCTACATCCTTAGAATTTGTTATTTTTGTGATATTTATATTTCCTGTGTCTTAACAGCCCACAAACCCTGCTTATGACACAGATCATTCTCCTGCTCCCTCAGGTCTGTCAGCTTGCTTCCTACTTTGTGATATAATGTGATCACGAAACGCCACATCACTGACAGAACACACAAAGGCACAGAGAAAAGCTCCAGCTGAACTCTTGGAAAAGGAGCAGAGCAAATTGGCTGTCAATTTGATTTGTTAATGAGCAACAGTTTCTGTGACTTGCCGAGATAAAACCTGCAAGAAAAAAAAACACCAGAGTGTCCCTTAAGGGCAGTCCATTTTACAACAATTTTATAAACATAGTCACCATTCCTCAGTCACAGTTCAGTGCTTTAATACTCCCAGGGGCAGACTTATATTGTGTTTTCCAAAGCCTCCCCCTTATTTAAGTAACAATGTGCTCTGACTAATTTATAATTGAAGAAGGCATGTGTTTTCAACTGCCTACACATCACAATCACGATACTAATCTCAAGACCCTTCTTAATGGTTTGCCTTTAAATACCATTGGATTTCTAGGAGAATGGGCAAGAACATAGAGATTCTTCACATTGCGAAAGAGTTAAACCTGGCTGACAAAAACAGCTGCTCAATAAATTCTGCAGGTATTGATCTTCTTCTCATTCCGTAAGGCCTGCGGTTTTTACTTGTAGAATAGACACTCAAAAATAACAGCGTAACTGAAGAGAAAACCAAGTTTCTTTTATTGCGCACCAGATCTGAAATATGAAAACGTTAAAGAAAATGAAATAATTGAGGGAATCAGGACTTTCATTATCATCAACGTGACAACAAGAGTAGGTTTACACATTTATATATACACAAGTAGTGCCTGTAAAACGATTCCATTTATCAAGACACAATTCACATCTACAAATAAATATGCCAGCTCACTGGGCCTAGTTGTCCAGTATCGTACATTATCAGTAAGGCTGCCTGTTTTTATATTTATTCCCACCCATACAACCTTGCTTTAAATGTATCTTGTGCTAGCAAACCAACTAAGAGCAAAGGTAAAATCATCTAACTTTGGATCTAATTAAATAACATCTGCTTACTACAGTATATGAGACACACTGCTCTCTAAGACATGATCATAATTTAAAAGCCGTTTATAAGTTATTATATCTTTGGTTTGCGTGTTATGAACTCATGTGGTATGAACTCAACTTTCATGGGTTGGGGAAAAAAGAGATCCCCTTTCTTTTAATGAAACAGAAAATATATCTGAGCCTCTTTTGAATTCATTGGTACTAAATCTCTGATTTCATTAAGAAAGAAGATGCGGCCTGATAACGGTTTTTCCATTTAAAGACAGGTAGAGGGTGGGATTAAACATCAAAAGCTGGCAACCGTAAGCTTCACTGCGGTGTGTCATAGTTACAAGACTTAGCTTCTATACAGTCGATTCTTTGGGAGTGTCCTTGGCGTTTCTGCACCCATACAGCCACTTGATGACCCGCGCATTCCTCTCAATCACAGACACGACCGAGGGCACCTGCTCGGTCAGCTCCTCCTCGAACAGTCCCTCCCCAGAGTGCCGGGAGAACTCGCTGGCCTCGGAGCCGCCCGCACTAACGCTTCGCAGCATCAGAGACACCGTGTCCGAGCTGGCACTGAAAAAGTTCTCCAGCCCCAACCGATCCACAACTTCCAGGTCCAGCCCGCAGTAGTTGAAGAACCTCTCTTTCTCAGACAAGGCCAAGGAGTAGCGTAGCCTGAGATCTGACTTGGAGCGCTGCAGCCCCATTCTTCTCAAAAGAGTTTGCTTGCCGGTGTCCCCAGCGAGACTGATCGCAGACTGACTGACCTCGAGGACCATAGTCCTTCGAGGGGTCCGAGGGCTGTCGGGAGCTACGAACAGCTCTGCCTCCGTCTTTGATGAGTCTCTTTCTAAGCTCACTTCCTGTTCCCTGATGGGCGTCTCCTTGTCATTGGTCCAAGACATCCGAGTGTCCTCTTCTTTGGAAGGGGACTTCTCCTCATTGATAATCATCTTAGGTGGCGATTCCAGGGAGGATTTCTCCCGCATGGACCCCTGGAAAAGCCGCCTAACGAAGCTGTAGCCTTTAGTCTCGCCGCCTGCTGACGTCTTACACTCGCGTTTCTGCCGGTAGATGATCAGAGAGTCCGGCCTCAGCATGCGTTTGCCTGAGCTCCTCCTCAGTACAGGGGTGTTCTGCACCACTGGTGTGGCCGGGGTTGTTCTGGCAGTGTTGCCTTTGAGCTCTTTCAAGTTTTGGTTCTCCTTCTTGGCCTCAATGTCCTGCAAGGCTTCACTTTTGTCCCCTTGTGGGGCAAAGGTTCGCCCCAGTGAGCTGAGGGGCGCGGAGCACGGCACTGTGAGAGGCCTGCGTGGTGGCAGGGGCACGGTTGCGCAGGGCACTGTCAGAGGCCTCCTCGGCTGTGGGGGCGGGGTGGCGCAGGGCACAAGTACAGGCTCCTGTTTGCTGTTGATCACCTGTTGGCTTTTGACGTACTTGGCCTTGTCGGCCTCCAGGCGCTCTACGGCACTGACAGAGCGCCCCCTGTCGCCACTGTCTATCTGCCTCCGGAGGTACTCAGGCCCCTTGTTCAGGAGCCTCAGGGGAGAGGGTGAACCGACTGGTGTGAGGGGCTTCATAATGGGCCCTTCCCGATAAAGACATCAAAGCGAAAGATTTGCCACACCCGGAAAAAATGGAGGACACGAAAAAACCAGATCCTTCCTTCTGAATCAATATCCCAAAATAAAAGAACAAAGGTCTTTTTTCTTTCTTTCGGAAAACTAACCGAATCCTTCTGAAAGAACAAAAAGGTAGATTTTTTTTCTGAACTGGGACACAGTTCCCAGAGCTCTAAAAAAGTCAAAATACTACAACAGAAATCTGTTTTATGATCCGTACTACAGTAGAAATTCTACTGACCGCACTGGCAGAGTGGGTTTGGCTAAAATTAGTCTCTTTGTTGGGCACTGGAAAAGCTATACAAATTGATATCTATATCCAGTAGTTACAGAGCCACTCTGATAATTGGGTAGGGAAGTCCTTTCTTCCTCCTTCCAAATGGAATCCTTAATGAGATGCCTGCTTCCCACAAAAAGAATAACAAGAATGCCAGAAATAGTAGGAAGAATTTACTTGTGAATGGAATTTTTCTGTCCACATTTCGGCTGCTGTCTTCCATAGATATCTTTTCCCTAACCCAGAAGGAATGATCTCAAATATTTGCTCTCGATTCTCATCTTTCAATCCTTTTGGATTTATGGAAGACGTGTCAGAGAAAACTCAACGTTAGCGGCCCATCCTTGAAAGACACAAATGCCAAAGGGATATCTTCACTCCAAGTGCGACTCTGTCCCAGTTTTTTTTCTGTGGAAAAAAAAGACGAAAAGCCGTGTTAGTTCCAACACTACTTCCAGTGAGGGTATTTTGTCTTGGAAAGATTTGATAACATGACTGAGTTACTTCCCACACAGTGTCACAGGAAACCTCATCGTGTTTGGCTTGTTCCCATCTCTGGGAGTTTAAACCGTAAGTCAACCAGTCAAAATTCATAAACTGCATGTTCTTTTCACGGTATGTCATGGTGCATGGTACAGAAAGATTTTATGTGCAAATTTGCAAGACAACGGATAAGCCTGTGTTAGTGAATTTTAAAGCCTTTTTTTTCCAGATAGAAAAAATTGTTCCCTCTTTTCTGAAAGGCGTTGTAAAAGATGAAAGGTGAAAACTCAGGAAGAAACCACAAAGCAATGGAATGAATCCAGTTTTTATCACTGAAACACACATTGCTCACAAAAGAGTTGGACTTTTTATATGAAATTAGAAAATGCCGAGCAACTATAGTTAACAAGAAAGGCTTTCACAACAGTTTATTTCAATCTGCGTCAGTTTATCAGTTCTATGTCTTTCCTGTAGGAAGGCCCACTTTAGTCTAGTACAAAAAAAAGCCATTTTTGTGCCAAGTTGAAAATTACAATTAAATCATGTAGTGCTTTTCACTTTGATGCATGTCAAAGTGATTCATATACAAAAGGCACAGACTAGGCTCAGACACGTGTCTATGTAAATATAGCTCTGAGCTGAATATAAAGTTGTACTGCTTGCACATTTCTAAAAAATCCCCATCAAAAAATGACATGTGAATAGCACTTTTATAAAACCACGTTTTGGGCACCGAGCACCAAACTGCGGGACAACCTTCTCGGCTTCCTGCAGTGCTGTCACTGAATGTGAAACTGAATCATACATTAACCAGTCAATATTTTAAAAGCTAAAATCTGATGCAGTGGTCTTTTAGGTGAACTAAAAATGCAAAACCCATTAGGCAGACATCTCACACCGAACCTTAATAGGAGCCAGAAACTTAAAAGGCCTCTTATTAAAGATGAATGAAATTACAGCCAAAGCTAGAAAAGGCAATAAAGTTTAATCGGGTCTTTTTTAATCACAGAAAGACAAGAGTGCTATTTAGAGGGAATATGGAGAGAGAGTTGTGGGGGCTGGGGTGGGGTCCTATAGCTGAATAAGACTAACCCATGCAGGCCCAGAAATAACTCGGGAGTATTTATAGCTAGAAAAAAAAGTTCCTGCCTGATTATTGCGTCCGTGTGTCAGCACGCTTTAATAAAGGAGAGGGCCGGAGATGAAAGGGGTTTGTTGTCTGCACAGTTGGTTGGCGGATTAGCAGTGCAGACCGAGCCAAGGCCTTATGAGCAGAAGGAAGACCTGGGCCCTGGGCATGTGGCACAGTCACAAGCCTGAGGCATGTTCCTCCGAGGTGGGGAGAACCTGGAGTGCAGAGGTGTTTAATTTTTTTATTTAGTATCCGACTAAGTGTGTCATTGCTGTTAAAACCCATGTTTTGTTTTTTTTTTCTCCAGAATGTTCCATGAGAGCCCCCAGACTTTTCTGTATTCAGCTTCCAACTTGTCATCCAGTAACTATCAATGTAGCTGCTTTTTAAATTGTTTTCGTAAGATCTCAGACAGATTGTAGACCGCTTCATTTAAGAAATGCATTTATTTAAAGACCTTATCATTTAGCCACCACAGACCATATGTGACCATACAATAGGTTTCAAGGCTTAACCAGCAAAATAATAAAAAAAAGATTTCTATGAATTAACCTGTAACAGACATGGTTGAAGGTGTGTTTTGTTCACTGACTGGCCTGATAGAATAGCTTAAGAAGGAAGGTACTGCCAGGCAAACTAAATCCTGCATATTTCTGCAAACTAAAAGCTTGTTTTGATTGTTTTTAAAAATAAAAACATCTGTCCTCGAGTGTGCCTCTCTTTCATAGATGCAGAGATGAAAGACTTTCAGAATTCAAATAATGTAACTGGGCTTCGAGATACACCTCAGGTGCTGAGAGGACTCCACAGCAGACTGGCCAGGAATGTTGCTTTTAAGATAAAAAAACATAAAATATTTCAACTTCCAGTTTGTTGGACAAACTTTAAAAATCAATAAGTATAAAAGATTAAAATCTGAACTTTCAAAAGTCACTAAATGTTTATGGTAATATACTGTACCATGGGGAAAACATAGCGAGCTGCAAACAGGAACAGTGGAATCATGGTAAGCTTTGGTCAGGCATCTACAGTCTAATACAAGCTGCAGTGGTGCATTGCAGTGGCAATGGTAACACAAAACTGACCTGTAAAAAATCAAGGAAGAACAAAATGGAACTAAAACTACTTAGAGCACACTGGCATGAGAGAAAGGGTTAAAGAAACGTGACACGAGATGACAAGAGAAGGATTGTCAGAAAAAAAAACTTTAAAAAAAACAGAGTAGTGAATCATCAGAGAAGTACATTACACTGGAAGCTATATTTAGGGCTTCCTTCCTTTCTCTGATGAGCTGGGGAATGAGCCTAGACTATAGAAAGAAAGACAGGCCTATTAAAAACACCAGACACCAATTTTAAGTGTCCAGGTACTTGTTGGGGAACTTTGATTGAATGAAAATAAAAAAACATCTGAAGAAACCAAAACACACCGAGGTCCAACATTAACAAAATCCCTGCGTGTTTACCTGCCCGTTGGAAATCTGGAGGTCTGACTCTCTTGCTTGACCAGGATGTGAGGTACAGTAAATGCAGGTTTTTCTAAATAAAACCACAGAGGAGCTATCTGCACAATGAAAGCATGAAGGGCATCTGTGTAACTACATCACAGACAAACAACATGTGGACCTTCGACAAAAATGAAGCCTAATATCTATCAACTACCAGCTTCCGTTTTCTTTCCAGAACTTTTTGTACGAAGCCCAAAAAGGGATGAAACATTTTATGACTTACTTTCCACTGGCTTTAATGGAATGCTGGGAAATAGTACAATGGGCTGAGAAACGTCCGGTAGGTTATAACAGAGGAAGAGTCTGGAGTCACCTGAAGTCACAAATGGACAAGCCACCTCTTATCAGAAAAATATCACATTTTCACAATCACAAAATAACAAAATCACAATTTCCATTATTTCCATAACACAATGGTTCCATTATGTCACCACGAACCACCAGACTAGTTTATTTTAGAAACCTTCACTGTATTTCTAGTAAAGGAAAGCTGGCAATAAAAATGTCACATTGGGAAAACCTGTCCCCTCATAAAGTAACTATGGCACTCATTTTTCTAACCAGAGCTCAGCTATGTCTATTTAAAGATAATATGGAGACAGCTTAACTTAGACAAAACACCAAACTTGAAATAGAGCAGACTCAAATACAACAGCTTTGTATTACATCATAGATGCTTATGAGCTAAAGTCAAACTAGATAACTCCTCTATTCTAGAAAGTTTTGTTCTCTTGGGATTTCACTCTTCACCTCATGTCCACTATTGCAAAGAAAAAAACTATATTGACAACAACCATCTGTCTGAATGACCTTAGCATTTCTAAAGCATTCAAAGACTAAAGAAAACAAGACTAAACATCAAGAGCAATTTAAATACCAATCAGAAACAAAACAGGTCAAGTCTGTGGATGACAATTTTTTTTTTTCATATCCAAATGAAACAAAATGTATTTTTGTGATTAGATAATACATAAGGTTTGTGGTACGGATTTATCATGCAGTGGTATGATTTGTGATCATTATAAAAGCATGCTGCCATATGCCCTTTTTAATGAATTGGCTCTCTTTGATCTGAGAGCTTTGGCAGATACCCTTCAACCCAGCTTGTGCGACTCTTTCAACAGGTACACATTTCCACATTTCTCAAAGGCCAAGCCTATACACTCTCTCAGACCTGGTAACTGCTGATACCGATTTGCTTTTTACTGTAGGTTGAGAACGGCTGAAATAAAGGCGTCAGAAAAGTTGTGCGTCCTGTTGTTGCTGGGATTGCTGTTGAACAGATTATCGTTGCAAAATCATGATAACTTCTCTGAGCACATAGCTGTAAAGAGTAGGAATCCTTTTGATTTCCTATGCTTTTTGTATTCATGAATTTAGCTTTCTAAATTCAGAGGTATTTTTACATGTTAGCAAAAGTAACTTTTATTTGAGCGTTTAAAAGTCAGCATTAACCTAATCACTGTACTATGAAGCAGTATGACTGCTTAATGACACTATTCTCAGCTGTTGGTTCCTGCAATAAGTCATGTGAAAGTTTTAATGCACTAATCAGAACAGGCACATGTGCCTAACATTGAAACTTAAATGAAAGAATTCTCTGCTTTTTTGTCTGAATGCTTTAACCTCTGCAAAATTTGTATTGTTATCTGTCCTAAAATGTTTATGTATTATAATACATTATAAACATCTTACAGCAGAAATGTCTAAAAACTTTAGTTGAGGGGTTACAAATTGAACACGGACCTACATGGAATTGTAGTTAGAATGTGTTTGCAATAGTGAATGGCAACATGCAATTCATTGTTAGGAGAAGCAGATAACACATCATTGACACACACAAAATCTATATTTTAATCTAGGCCATAATGACTTATAATGACAAATAATGCATTTAAAGGCTTAAAGTAATTTAAGTGCAAGACTAGGTAAGCTGATCTACTTTACTACAGGACAGGAAAAGGAAAATCTCTTCCACTTCTTCCTCCTACTGTATGTCTCCTAATACTTATTGACAAACAATTCATATCTCTCCAGAGTCTTAGGCTTAACACTCCAAGGCTTCACAGGTTTTCAGGTTCCATTAACATCTAGCAAGCAGACTGGCAAGGTTGGGTGAACAAGCTGCTCGTATTTGTAACTTAATTCCTGTTCTTCCAGCGGGAAAACGAGGAGAGCTTCCCAGTTAGTGAGGAATTCCCTGGAAGTTCAAAAAGCATTCACTACCTCTAATGAGGTGAATTAGCAGAGCTGTGTGCTCCTGGCCTTTTACAACACCCTGTAAAA